AACAAACAAACACAAAACACACACACGCACACAAACACACTAACAAAAAACACAGACAAACACACACACAAACACATAAAAACACACACAACAAAACAAATAAACACTCACACGCAAACACAAAACACACACACACACACAGACACACACACACACACACACACACACACACACACACACACAAGCGCAGACAGACACAAACAAAAACACACACACAAACACACACGTGTCCATCATCTAGAGGCTGCTCGGTGTGCTGGACTGATGACTGCAGTGTGAGCTGAACTGACCTCATACAGCTGACGGTTTGTGCTGAGGACGAACGACAAGATGTGCAGAACCTTGATCCTGATCATAGTGCGGCTCTCATTCCTGACACACACACAGGTTATTGTTTGTGAGGACATTCCACTGGTTTCCACTGTTTCTATACTTCATTATACTCTACTACTTCATAAACAACAGTTATTTTATGTGTTTTATTTCATGTCCATAGAATTTAAAGCAGGGGTATCCAAACTCGGTCCTGTCCTGGAGAGTTTAACTCCAACCCTAATCAAACACACCTAAACCAGACAATCAAGCTCTTACTAGATATACTAGAAACGTCCTGGCAGGTGTGTTGAAGCAAGTTGGAGCTAAACTCAGGAGGACACCGGCCCTCCAGGACCGACTTTGGACACCCCTGATATAAACAAACAGGCGATGCCGTCTCCAGACCTGAAGAACTTGTCCATGAGTTTGAGCAGGTTCTGCAGCCATCCGTCCTTGGCCGGCTGGATGGCCTGAGCTCTGTAGGAGACCAGCGTGAGCACAGATGCATCCTAGCAGAGAGAGAACCAACGATAGCCAATCAGAGCTCACACTTTACAGATGCTCAGACAAACACAGACACACAGTTTAAGACTCACAGGACGTTTATCCGCACACTTCTCCACCAGGCTGAAGAAGCGGGCCGAGGAGCCGTGGAAGTCGTTCTGCTCGTAAAGCTCCTCGATGGTGCTCAGCAGCTCATAGACGATCACCTTCAGGTCAGGACTGCCCATCGTCTGCAAACATACATATATGAGGAAAGCAACACACAGAAAACATCGCCCTCTAGTGTCTGAATGAGCAGCTGCAGGCCCTACATGCATTTCAAAATGGGTTTTTGTTTGTTTATTTTTTGCACATTACCAACTCATGGCGATTTCATAGCAAGATCAACATATATAATTACTTAATATCTACAACAGCAACTTCCTAATTCAATAAAGTTTAATACAGAATAAAAGAAAATTTAATTTAATCTTTGATAAATACATCACAATTCTTCCTAGAAATACACTTTTAAAAACATCAGTCGAAGTGCTCCGAGTATAAAAACCCTTTCATTATTTCAAAAGAGTCACACATATAATTAGTTAGTAAAACAAGACGTTAGAAACACGCACGCATCGTTATTCATGTTAGAGCTGATATTAGAGCTGCACAATTAATCGGAAAAAAAAAAAAAAAAAAAAAAATCGCAATCTCAATTCGATCCCCTAGACCAGGGATCACCAAACTTATTCCTGGAGGGCCGGTGTCCTGCAGATTTTAGCTTCAACCCTAATCAAACACACCTGAACAAGCTAATCAAGCTCTTACTAGGTATCCTTGAAACGCTCAGGCAGGTGTGTTGAGGCAAGTTGGAGCTAAACCCTGCAGGGACACCGGCCCTCCAGGACCGAGATTGGTGACCCATTCCCTTGACGATCTTAATTCAGCATTTCTACAATTCTGCCAATCAGTGGCGGAATTAGGTATGGGTAATATTGACGATCGCCCAGGGTGACATCTTGCTGGGGGCGGCACGCTATATTCGTGCAAAAAAAAAAAAAAAAAAACATCCCCTAGTAAAAGCATTGGGATACGATTTACTTTATGCAAGTGTATTTACTTTGTTCACAGTTGGCATCTTTTGCACACGTTCTCTATGTGCAACCAAAACAACGCTGGTGAAAGCAAACTGACGCATGCGCAGAAAAACCATTACCGTACGCCTCACGCACTCCTGTGTGAATACCAGTTGTTTGTATGCACGCCGATAAAATACCGGAAACCAGAGTAACAGCCTTTTGTGCAGAGGTGTCGGCACGCAGCGAGTTTTGCAAGTCAACAAAACTAAAGTTTATATAATATGATGATGATGTTACTTTCACTAAGCATGGCTATAAAGCATAAAGCAGGAATAATATATATATATATATATATATATATATATATATATATATATATATATATATATATATATATATATATATATATATATATATATATATATATATATATATATATATATATATATATATATATAT